CATCCAGAGACAGAATGGCAAGTGAATGTTGCCAAGTTCCAATCGTGACCGGCCTTTCACCCGAAGTTGAGCTCATTCAGGCGGAGCTTCTTTTTTATCGCCACGCAGGTGGTACCAAAACGACTGCGTCCGTTCACGCCACGCTGCGTCTGTTCACCTGCAAAGCACCTTTTTTTTTTCTTCAAATATTGAATTCCCCACCGGCCCAGGCTTCATGACTGCGAAACAGAGAACTATGCGAGCGCCGCGCGAGGTCAGACAGGCCGCCTGCTTCTGTTAATGTGAACTGACAGGACCTCATGTCCCGATTGAAGTGGCCCCGCAGCCTTGGAGTTCCTTGGATTGACGAGTTTCCTGTTTCGCTTTGCAGGTATCGGCCCTGCACAATGCTCCGCCAAAGTCTTCGAAGGACATCACAAACTTCTCTGTCGAGCCAGCCAGAGCCAGGCAGACTTGGGTAGACTGAAAAGTTGTCGGAAGGGGCTGGACTTCGCCAAAGAGACACGCAACTCGGCACAGACTCCAGTGACCGACTGTCACCGGAGACTACCTGCAACGAGGCATCTGCTGCGGCCAAAGCAGGACTGCCTTGATCTTGGTTGGGTGTGGTGGATCCCGCAGTGATGCACAGCAGCGTGGTTGTGTTGCAGTTGAGCAGCACTTCGCCCAGGCTGCGGCTTCTGCAAGACGCAAGAACAGCTCGCCTGCCGCCGGACGGTTTTTCGTTTCAGGCAGGCGTGGCCTCACGGTGGCAGTGACTCGGGGGCAAGAAGATGAGGGCAAATCGCAGTTCGTCGACTCGGCAGCTGTTGCATGCAAGCAAGCCAGTAGCCAGGCTAAAACCTAAGGCTGTCGCTGGCGATTCTGGACAAAGTATCCAGAACCAACAGTCAGGTGCAAAGAAGTTGAGCAAGCTAAGAAAAGCTCTGTGAGACTGTAGAGCCCAAGCCCTCCATGCAGGTGCCCGCATCAGTTGTTGGTGCTGTCCTAGCAGACTGTGAGCATGCACGACGATGGAGGGAGGCAGCCGGAGCGGGGACAGGGTTGCCCAGCACAGCCTGAGCTGCCAGGTGCTTCTTGCTTTGCGCAGCATTCGCGCCACTATGCGGCCGAGGGGACCGAGCTTACTGGCATATAACACCGCCATCTTTGTATCAACCTTGGCAAGGTGCCCCAAGGGCCAAGCATGCCATGCAATGACTCGTAGTGAGCTTTCACGGATGTCAAGTTCGGCAAGTACGAGTGAAGCCCCAAGGCATGTCAGTCTCAGAAGAACTGGGTCTCAGTCCCAGGAGTACTCGCACACGCACTTGAACAAAATCGTGCCATGGGTGTCGGCCCGGCCTCAGGAACTCGTGGTTAAGATTCTCCTCGAGATGCGACACAAGCGCTGTCAGCTGCAGGCTTAGCGGCTCAACGAAATGAGACGCAATGTGATACAGATTCTCTCTTTGGTTTGCTGTTGCACGGTGTTCGAGGCCCGATGCGAAGACCTGCAGCAGAGCCATCCTTGCTTGTGGCGGGGTTCGTGTTTCGCCCGCAGGGCTGCAACTTGTGCACGTGTGGCTCGGTGCAGGGCAGCTCTGGCAGCAAGCTCTTGCATTCAATGCATATTTGCAGCTGGCCGGGGTTAAGTGCTGGAGCTCAGCGGCGCGCGTTCCTTCAAGATAATGCACATGACTGCGCAGATGTCAGGCCGAACAGCATTACAACATCTGCCCTCATCAGCTCCTGTGCGCGGGCCAGTCGCTGGCAGCGGTGACCTCATGAGATTGCTTGTTGGAGTGTGGTTCGTTGCGCCACCATGTCTTGAGGTTATCCCTTGCTTTCGTTGAATTCGACGGGGCGTCAGCCGCCTGATTCTATCCATCTTGCGTCGTTACAAAGAGTTACTCAAACAATGCAGATCGAGCACGGTTGTCTTCAATGCGGCCATGACTGCCTGCGCCGCTTGGCAGTGGATAGGACTTGATTCCTTCAGCAAGCGCGGCGCTGCATTCGTGGTTCTTCCAAGATGGACCTTGTACAAGAAGCATTGCTTCTATGCTCTCTCTTTCGGTCGGCGATGTGCATGGTCAGTGCTCGCACAGAGTAGCGCCTAGCTGACGAATCGTTGTTAGTCCGTCGATCGGGCTAAGGCTTGCACGCTCCCTCCGAAGTCCGGTTGTTGGCACTTGCTGAGGGAGACGTGAATCCCAACAGGTAAAGGGCTCCAAGTGGCCTGCGGCACTTCTGCTGCTGCGCAGGTCTGAACCGTCAGAGCATCCGTGTTTTTCCAGAGGCCGGATCAAGTTCGTGATGCAGTCAGGATTTCTGCACTTCATCTTCTACCTGACTTGTTCAGCTGAGCACTGAGCCGGATTTGTCGAAAGGTCGGACTGCGGCTCATGAGCTTGTGCTTGAGGCTTTAACGTGGCCATCCATGGATGTGAAGTTGGAGGTGGTGCCTGGGTGCGCAACCTGAAGCAAGCTGTCTCTGTCTGCCAAATGTTTACAACGCTCTTAGCTCGCAGGTCACTGCTTTGCAGCTCTTAGAAGAGATGTCTTGCATGATGCTTCAGCCGGACCTTGTCAGTGGGGTCCTTACAGCATCGGGTCCACGGACGGGCTTTATTGCGGCTTTATGTCTTGCTCGTCCATCCTTTTCTAGGCATCAATTCCTGCATCAGCACTTGCGCGGAGGCTCGCGCCACCGAGAGGCTCCCCTCGTGCTGTTGAGACTCAATGCTGACAGGGCCTGCGCTGGGCAGCTGCAGTGCAGCTCTTAGGCCAGATGGCAGACAGACAGGCTCGAGCAAGATCTGGAGTATCGTGACGCAGTCGGTTTCGCCACGGAGTCAACAAGTCGCTTCTGTCTTCCTACTCGCCCTCGTTTCGAGTTGCGACCGGCGGGGAACTGCCGTTTCTTATGCCGTTGACCAAGATGCGGCAGCTGCGACATGTTTGCGGTAGACTTGTGCGCAGATGTGCCCTGCTCCGGGCCTTTTTGCCAACAGATTTTGCCTTGCATCTTTCAGTTTCTAGCTCATTCTCTATGTTGTTCTCACCTTTTTCATTTCCGCCTGCACTAGCTTCCAGCGCTCGTGGCCTGCTGCGGATGCAGTATTGCATCATTGCACTCATGCTGCAGTCTCGTTCGCCTTTACGTGAAAAGATATGCGGCATGGGCTGCTTTGTGATGTTTTTTGAGGTTTCCATTTCGTGCTGCGAGTTGATTTTGCTAAGTTCTGAGCTGCCTTTGCCGTTGCAGTCCATAGTGTAGTGGTTCCTCAAGCTGTGGTCAAATGCTACTAGCCCAGAAAGCTGCGAACAATCATTGGTTCTCAGACTGTTTGTCGGAGGTACAGCCAGATCTGGTGAGCTCCTAGATGCAATGGAATTTTGGGGTTGGCCGTATCGTCATGAAGCGTGGCTCATGCAAAGGCTACAACGCGGCGATGTCTGCCGTTGGACGGGACAGAGCGACTGCAGGAAGCCACGAGCTGTTACTGAGCAGGACGGGGACAACTCTGGCGCGCTGCTCTTCAACTTCTGCAGGTGGGAGAGGCCAAGTGCACAGGCCATGAGGCCTTGACGTCCGCTCCAGGCGCTACCTTGCAAGCCGAACATGATCTCCTTCAACACAGCAATGGCGGGGACTTGGGGAGTGGGCGCAGGGCATCGCGAAATCCTTGAGCTGACCAGGCAGCATGCGAGCGAGCAGGACACTGGAAGCACGTTATTGCGCTTCTGGAAAAGCTGCGAGACAACAAGATGACGCCCGACATGCGCACTTGGACTTCGTTGGTGGGAGCCCTGCGCGTGCGGTATGGGTTCCGCTGTGTAAACCCCAGCCTTTGCTGTGCAGGTCGCAAGCTTCTCTCGTGCGAGCGACTGGGTGAAGGCGCAGAGCATCTTAACAGAGATCCGCTCGGTACTTACCCAGACAGCTTCGTGTGACAGCATATGTTCTGTTCTCAGGAACGAGTAGACATGGCGGCGACGACTCCATGCACGTACTAATAAATTATGCTTGAATGCACCTTCTCTCCACACGCGGGAAATAGTGCAGGAAACGACGAATGTCGAATCCAATGCTTTGCTGTGGTTTTCTTCTTAAGTCTCTTAAGTTGAACAGTGGACAGGATGCGATGGTGTTTTTCCAGCTCGACGACTGCCACGAACATTCCCGCACGGCTTTCCAAAGCCATGAGTCACCACTTTGAACTCGGACTTTTCGATCATCCAATGGCCAAATACGGCACCGAATATGCACTGACAACCTGAATCCCCGAATCGCCGAACCATGTCCGACAGTGCGTGCTCGCCAGTTGAGGAGGCCGCGACAGTTCGCATCGCAACAAGGTCTTCAAGACCTGGACCCGGATTTGGTGATATTTGGCGCCACGGCAACTGTTGCTCCGCCCAGATTAGTTGCGCAGCAGTGCTTCGGCACTGCGGCGATAATCCAAATACTTGTGCTGAAGGCTTTCCAACGTGGACACCAGTGGGCGCTCGCTTTGAGTCTTTTGCCTGAGACGTGCTAGTCTCAGGGCCCCAGCTGAAAGAGGCATTGCAGATGTCAGTCTCCATGCCGCAGGCACAACCTGCAAGTTGTACCTGATGAGCGGCTCTGCGGTTCAGTTGTCACAGCTTGTGCAGCATCGCAAGCTTGGCAGGTAGGTGCTGAGCCTGAAAACTTTGTGGGACTTACTTGTCCAACACTGCTCCAGGCTGCATTGTCGTGCCTTGTGGAGTTCCCGAGGAGGACAGTTCTGTTTAGCTTGCTTGCTGTGGAATAAATTTCTGCAGCGCTCTCATGCAGCAGGAACCTGCAGCCCACCTCCACGAGCAGCTCGCCAGTCTTGACTGCTCTCCTGGACTGCCGTTGAAGAACTCAAGCTGATTCCCACACGTAGCTAGAAGTCTACTGGTGAAGATGTGCAGTGTTGGTCAGTCGACACAGCAGACATTGAAGCAGTGTCGGTTTCTTGACCACCTTCGTGGTTTCAGAGTACTGATTCTGCAGCTCTTACTTTTTCCAGTTTTCTTGGTGGTTGAGATGGTGCTGGCGAGGGAGATGGTGGTAATCACCGCCGCCTTCATTGCGACCGAGCGTGGGGGAAAATTATAGTCGTCCACGCCACTCGCACCACTCGCCCATGCGTGCCACTCGCGCCACAGCGAGGCAACCGGAACGAGCATTGATTCATTGGCGCCCCCAGAACAGTGCGACTGCACCAGGGAGGGGGGCGAGGAATTGTCGTCAGCGCCACTCGCACCACTCGCACCACTCGCGCCATTCGCGTCACTCGCGCCACTCGCGCCACTCCGGCCACTCGCCACTTGCGCTGTAGACGCAAGGAATGAGTGGAGCAGGTAAGAAATGTACAGGGCGAGTGGAACGACTGGAACAGTGCACGAGCGCAACGGTCGGAGCGAGTGGAACGAGTGGAACAGACCCGGATAAGCCCCCCGCACGCCCACACTCTCACCGGTTTCGTTACTGGTTTTCTAAACGTCTTGCATTTACAGGTTTTCCAGTGTTTTTTCCACCCCTGAGTCCTTTATCTTTCTTGTCGTCCTCCTCCTCGTTTTCCTCCGTTACTTCTCTGCCTTGCTGCTGCGCAGCTGTGTCTGTTGCCACAGCTGGTATTATTGAGGCGGTTGCTTGTGGTGTCGGTTGTGGTTGCGGTATTGCTGTGTTCGGCCCTGTCGTAGAGCTTGCAACTTATGTAATCGCATCTTGTCAGGCAGAAGTTACCTCGTTTGTGAGTGCCTAGTCGTCACCGGCAACAGTCTGCAAGTTGGTCTGGTGAGGATGTGCAGCAATGGCTGATGGCTTTACATCTATTCGAACATTTGCAACATGTAGCGGGACACCCGGCTATTGATTGAGTCCGGACCTTCTACGAATCCTGTTACAGCGTCTCATGATCCAATGCAGGTCGCCATGGACTCTCAAGCTTACGGCCGGCTCCTGCTTGTGTGCCAGACTCGCTCTTTTGCTTGGCTCGGAGCCTGCTTGCGAGACTGGCTGAGGTGCGAGCAACATCAATTCACGGAGTGGCAGCATCGGCTGCTACAGAGTTTGGCTTCTCCTCGCGGTCCTGCTCGCCATACTCCAGGCAGACTGAGTCTGCATCTCAATGCAAGAAGGGCTTGCTTTCAAAGCAAGCAGTCTCTTCAAGCTTTCTCAGCGCTCACAGGTTTCTGACATGAATTTGGGCATCCCTGTCAGCATGAGGTCTCGCAGCGGCAGTCGCAGCACAATCCGCCGGTCTGGGCATGGTTCCCGCGGTTTCGCGAGAGTCGGCGCCAGATCCCGCGAGCATCCCGCGTGCTCACTCGTGGACACCTTATGTCAAGGACGTGGAATGGAAAGACAAAGAACGGACACTTCGTTGATGCCTCGCTGAAAGCTTCACTGGAGTTGAGCAGGAGATTCGCCTGATGGAGCACATTTTGCGTAATGCTGAGCGTGGCAATCCCCATTCGGTGTGCCCAAGCCTGAATGGACAAGATTGAACCGGTGCAAGATCTAATCACCAACATTGTGGTGTGAGGCGACGAAGTGGAAAGCTTTGGTCGCCACGTTTCAGGCCGCGATCCTGTGAAAGATTCGTTTCGAATGCTTGGACTGCTTGATAGACATCCGTCTTTGGTTTGATCTGTGGCATTGGCTCTGCCAGACGAGCCTCTTTGTTGTCTCATGTCCGCACTTGCCTTGTACAGCAATGACTGACCCAATATCCCCTCGCCATGGGTGCCTTGGCAAAACATGTGTGCTTCTCTTGCTTTTCTGTTGCTGCTGCTGTTGCTGTTGCTGTTGCTGTTGCTGTTGCTGTTGCTGTTGTTGTTGTTGTTGCTGCTCCTACCGTCGTGAAGGTGTGCAGGACATGCTTGATTCACATGCAGAATGCCGCGACGGAGCCCGCTCCATCTCGGGACGACTGACTGCGATGATGCACTCGAGGCGTGCTTCGCGCCATGCCTTGCTTTCCAGCTTCTTGCCTGATCATGGCTGTGTTCATGACTCTTCTATGTTGGTAGGCTGACGGTCCTGAAGTACATCGGTGAAGTGCTGTGGATCTTGAGCGAAGCTACGTGGATTCTGCTGATTCCACAGGCAGGTCGCAACGAAAAGGCGTTAGATTAATCCAGTTTCTGAAGCCGGCGCTCTGAGTGCAGCGTCAAAGGTTTGTATTCCGACATCGTTTTTGGCTTTCGTTTTCATCTTGGCCACTGCTGCTCTGGACCGCCTGTCTGGTCGGGTGGAAGTCTGGTTCCCATCAGCGCTTCAGGCCGCCTGCCAAGACGATCAGCCTGCATTTTCGAATTCTCATTCCACTGTCAGGCATTGTGGCTGTTCTGGAACTTTATATGGATGCTGGACGAGGCCGAGCTGCTGCCCTGGTCCTTGTGCCCTGCACTTCTACTGCCCCGAACGATGAGCATGGACTCCGACCTTCGTTTCTAAGAGGCCTAGAGACAACAACATTCCCTGTGGAACGTGCTTTCCTGTTCCGCAGGGCGAACGACCTAGGTTCCCAAGAGGCAGCAGAAGTACGTAGCATTCACTGTAGTAGCACAGCAATATAGTAGCAGTAGTAGTAGTAGTCGTCGTCGTCGTCGTCGTAGTCGTAGTCGTAGTCGTAGGAGGAGGAGGAGGAGGAGTATCCGTAGTTCCAGTATTGATCGGCAATGTCAGTTTTCGTTTGCGTCGTATGAGCAATTGAAAATTCGTGGCGGGGTTCGGACCAGGGTTCGGATTGGAATTGCTACTTGCAGTAGTTTGTGAACTGCGAAGAACCATGGAACCGTTGTCAAGACTTGTCGCTTTGGAGGTCGTTTTCGTCGTCAGCGTAGTAGTATTGGTAGCGGGAGTAGGAGTAGTCGTAGTGTCGTAGTGGTAGTGGTAGTGGCAGTGGCATAAGAGCCGTGTGAATCGTACACGTCGTAAGGGTAGTGCGACTACAACGAAGAGTACGAATACTACTAGTCTTGGTGGTGCGTGGGCGGTAGCATGTTCGGAGTATTAGTACTAGAAGCATGTCAGTAGCAGATGCAAAGCGTTGTAGCCACGACGAGGATTCGAATACTGTTCGACAGGGTTTCCGGGTTGGGATTGCATCAGCTTTGTAGTCTCCTGAACTTAGCCCCGACCCATCCTCCTCAACCCCGCAACTCTGAAATCTAAAGATGCTTCATGTCGGATCCTTTAGACTTTTGGGCTTGATGAAAGGCGAGCCAGCCCCACGCAAATGCCGGGGGACATGCAACAGTCGGTAGTGGTTGAACCAACTGTCCAACATACAATTGGTGAGCCAACCTTATTGGAGCACGCTGGAAAATAACAGGTGTAACGCCATGCTAGGCCAGACCTGTGCAAAGACAGTGCAGGTTTTCTGGGACGAGCCGGATCAACAAACTCCCTGGAATCTAACACCGATGCAACTTGCAGGCCTCAGAAAGTTTTTCGTTGGTTTTCCCACCCTACTTGCAATAGGTTGTCTGGTGATCACGGGATGCTTGGAAGAAGGAAGGCCTGACGAATGCCAAGGTTCGGAAGGAACGAGAAGAGGTACAAAAGCGTCCAGAACTACTGCGGCCCGGCTGAAGCACGAACCATTGCCAAAAAGTTGGCTACTCGGGATTTGCAATCATGCTTCTGTATTGTCCAACCTGTTGTCCTCGCAGGCATAATTGGCTTTTTTCTGGCGCCAGTGCTGTGGATTGCGGCGATTCTACATGAGCTGTTTCGGCACGATGTCGAGGTGCCCTCTCAGGCCATGGGGGATTAGACAGATGGAAGGAATGCAAGATCACGTAGCCAGCCCTTCCCTCTTCAGCAGGACTCTTGCACCGGTTGTTAAAGCATGTACGAGTGAAGCACGCAGAATTCAAGCACGCATGGACCAAGCAGGCGCGATCCAATTTAGGGGTTAGGCTTTTGAGGTTTGAGGTTCCTGGGGCTTAGGCTTCGGGCATTTTAGGGTTACCAGCGTGTGTTTGTAGATTTGCAGTCTAAGGTAGTTACTTGTGTCCACGGGTTCTCATAACATTATGTCAGGCTTAGTAAAGGCTTCTTGGATTTGTTTGAGGGTTTTTGGATCTGGGGCTTGGATATTCTTTGGCTCAGGGCTGAGAGTTCTTGATATTAGACCGTTCTTCGATCTAGAGATTTTCGGTTCTTGGGTTTAGAACTTAAAGGCAAGGCTTAGTAGGGCTGCGGGTTCTTGTGTTTAAGGTTCAGGGGCTTGGAGTAAAGCAAAGCATAGCATAGCAAAGCACAGCGTTGCGGATCTCAAGTAACAAAACATTTCAAATTTCTTATTGTATAATAATAGTAATGGTGCTTTGTTCAATCGAATTTAACCGAATATAATGCCACGATAGAACATGATATGATAAACCATGGTTTGACAGTAAACATTATGACATAGCATGATACAGCATGTAGGAACATGTACCCCATCATATCATGTTTTATAACAGCATAACAGATCATATCTTTTTCATGTCGTATCACATATCATACATCATGTTCATACAGCATATAGCATATAGCATGCAGCCTCTGATATGATATCGTTTCATTATCATACCGCACCAAATATCACAGCAAATACCATATCATGTATCAGATCGTATTTAATACCATATCATGTCATAACATATCGCATCACATTATATCATGTCATATCACACCATACCATGCCTCATCACATCATATCACATCATGCCTAATCAAATCATACCATCTTAGCTCATTTCACATCTTGTCACATCATGCCATAGTATATCAGATTGTCATAGCATATGACACTATATCATGCCGTATCATATCTTATCATCTCATACCGTATCGTATCGTACCATACCATATCACACATTAAAGTGTCCGAAAGCATTACACAATACCACACAGCATGGACATGTCATTGTTTCATATAGTGTGGTATAGTGCCATCAAGTATCATCCAATGCCAGTCGTATACTATATCGCAGAATTTCATGTTGGGTTCTTGGGTTATTTGGTTCAGGGCATAGGGTTCTTGGGTGTACAGCTTAGGTCTTGGGGTTCTTGGGTTCTGGGTATTGAGGTTAAGTGCTTTTGGTTTTAGAGCTTTGGCTTCTCTTGGGTTTAGGGTTCAGGGCGTAGTTTTGCTTGGGTTTCTTGGGTTTAAGGTTTCGGTACAGTTATGTGCAGTTCAAGGTTCTTGGGTGTCGGTGTCGGGTTCAGGGCGTAGTAGGGCAAAGGATTCTTAGGTTTAGGGTTCATGGTTTAGCAGCGCTTAGGGCTTAGGGTTCTTGGGTTTAGGGCTTAGGGTTCTTGTTTTAGGGTCCAGCTAGCATAGCATCGCACAGCATAATATGGTATGGTATGGTAGAGTATCGCAAAGTAAAGAAGAGGAGAGGAGAACAGAGCGGAGTGGAGTAGCACAAGGTAGCATAGCATAGTCTAGAATAGCCTAGAATCGTCTAGCCTATAGCATAGCAAAGCAGAGCGGAGCAGATGTATGCATTTCTGCATTTTCTGCTTGTTGTTAGATGTAACCGGGCCTGGCACCAGCGTCAGGGTTGACGCGGCTCGCACCGAGAGCGCCAGCTGCGCTGACACCGTCAGGGCTGAAGTCCTGTGAATCACAGGACTTGGCAGCTTCGGGGCTGTTTTCCCCGTCTGGCACAGGCAAAAAGATCCGCGATCCGCTTTGCGGCATTTCGGAGCTTCACGATTTCCCAAGAAGTTGGGCATCAGTGGTACTCTCCCCGAATTTCAAGGGACGAGAAGCGCCGGCGTGTTTTGCTTGTCTCTTTCAGGCGAGCTCTTCTAATGCCTTGTCTGTCTAGCACTCAAGGACAACTTCAAACTTCAATCATCCTGATGTCACGACATGCTCACTGTGATGCAGGTGTAGCATGTCGACGATGCCTAACCAGTGAGCACTGCGCATGTTTCTTCAGATGCTGTTGGCAGCATCCCGTGTTCTGCATGTTGCCTCGAGGTGTCTCTGACAAATCGATTGCACGGTTGCATTCCTGTCAGGTGCTTTGGAGGACTACGGGAATGGAACGGTCAAAGTCAGCATGCTCAAAGTCAAGCGTGCAAGAACTGATTTGCCACTGTGGGTACATCGCCATGTGGCACCTTGGATGCAGATATCAGCCGCCCGAAGACCGCCCTCCTTTGGGAATGTGCTTGTGTCTAGCCCGGCTTCCCAGCTCTCCTGGCGATCCGGCAGCCAGAGGATTCTGCCTTTCGCGAGGGACATCTGGAATGGAGTGAGCCGACAACTGTTCCAACGCAACATGTGCCGCTCCTTTCCTGGAGCCACATCGAATGTGTGAGCTTGGAGAAAAATCACGACAACAAGGAGCCAGCCACGGCGAGAAACCGACACACGGCAGGGTCGCTCTGTGTCAGCAAGGACGTCCGCGGATGCATTTCCAGATTATCAGGTGGCGCCGCCGGGACTCCTCGGTTGGGTTAGTTGGGTTTGATGCGCCCATTGGTGATCAAAGCCCGACAAAACAGATTGTTCTGCAATTGAGTCTGCGATGGCCTAGTCATGGCCCTTAAGCCACAGACACCTTGGCATCAAGCCTCGTCTACCAAGAAAACCCAAAGTGAACTTGAGTTTCGTTCGTAGAAATCACACTTTGAGCGAAACGTCAGAAACCCCTGCTTTGCAACCAGAGATGTTGGTCAAGGTCCTCCACTGACGGATTTTGGGCCTTTGGGTACTTCTGGCCGGCTACTGTGACCAGCGCGGCTCCGAACTGAGTAGTGCTGAGTCGTTGAAGAACATTTGCGTCACTAGTGCTTACCCTTTGGCAGAGAATTTTTGTCATTTCTGAAAATGAGCAAAGGTTACTTTTCTGATGATCTTTGCCAGCACGGTCGACGACTGCAGCCGAATGACGGACCACATGGATCGAACCGATGTCGTCTGGATGCTCTGGCCTTCTAGCAGCAAGAGACCTTGAGCCGACATGTCAGCTGGGTGCCGCTGGAAGCGTAGGACACTTTCCAACTACACCTGGATGGTCCTCGAGTTGATATTCAAGGCCAGACTACAACATGCACGACACTGCACAACATGTCGCTCTAATTAGACCTTCCATTTTCGTCCGAGGACTGGCTTCCTTGTCGCTTTTTGGCGACACTAATCTGCCTTCAGTCTTTGGCCTTGTTGGCATTCAGTTGGCCACAGTTCCGGGACCGCGAGGAGGGCGAGGCACGCCGCAAGTGTCCTCTGCATGCTTGCCTTGGCTTTGAGACAAAAGAGAAATGCAACACACTTGCCTTCCCTACACTCGAGGCCATGAGGCACGAAGCTGGCCATGATCATTGGCCGGATGGCTTGAATGCATCCTTGAGAAAACATGACAAATTGATCTGTGCTGGTTAGACGGCACGCTCGAGATCACTCGAACATGAGCTTTCCTTTCGCAGTTTTGGGATGTCGTTGAAGAGTCCCAATGCCAGGGCTAGTCGCTGGAGGTGGTTGCGAGACTTTGTACAAATCGGCAACTGCCTAAGCTGTACCGAGTGCAGCTTTCTAATTGCGGCCACATGCTGGAAAAAAGGGCTTAAGTGAATACTGCAACCTTGTTGCGAAGTTACTAGGTCAAGCGGCAGTTCGCCAGGCAGCTCCAAGACGTGGCTGAAGGTTGCTGGAGGAGAGAAGTCTGAGGTGCCAGACACTTGGTGTCTTCTGACGCAGGCAGCTTGCGTGCAAGGTTCTTTGGGCGGCCGCTCAGCACGCACGGAGTTCTCTGGTGTCAGACACTCGGCAGCTTGCAAAACCGTGTCGACTTCTCCGCATCTGTAAATTGGTTGGCTGCAGCCGAGTACTTCAGGCTGGAAATCGGCACGTATTGTGGCAACTCCTCCATTCGTATCGCGACGGCAAGTCCCAACATCCGAGTAGTGCGGGAAGCTGAGCTCCTCACGCCAAATATTCTCAAGAGCGGGCAACTTTGGACTTGGCCCCCGTTCTGGAGGACGTTGGAGGCAGATCCCGTCCACGTCTTGGACCTCAGACACGCGCGGCCATGCGATGTGCCATGCGGCCTGGCCTTGGCCTGGCCTTGGCGTGGCCTTGGCCATGCCGCCCTTCCCTTCCGCTTTGAGGCAGTGATAGCTCGAGCTGTGATCGCCTTTGCGGGGCTGTCATCTCGGGTGGACGCCGCAGCCCTGAGGACGTGGACCCTGAAACACAGAGTTCTGCAGCTTGCGAGGTCTGGACAGGGCATAGCCGCGAAGTGCTTCCCTACATGCAAGGCCAGGCCGTCCGCCCAGCATGCAGTTTAGCATGCCTAGCATGCCGCCGCACTGTCTTTGTCGACGAGCGGCATAGCAGACTTATAACTTGAGGCAAGTACGGCGGAGTCCTCGTCTCAGCTTTGCATCGGCAGCGCATTACGCCAGCAATCCATCGTTGATGTTACAAGGCTCGTGGTGGCTTCGGCTTGGTTTTCATGGATCAGCGGGGCTCTCGCTACCAGGAACACCTGTGTCACGGCTTAGCGCCTTCACGAACTCTTCAGACTCGTGCAGGAGGACCTCACCATGTTGGAGAGCCTGGGTCTCGTCCGGCCTGGAGTGCCTCGACAGGAACTGGTTTTTCTCTCAGAACGTTTTGCTTTAACTTGTCCCTGAGGCGATCATTGTTGTCCGAGCCCTGGATACACTGCCTCTGCGCAGGTCGCTTTGTGCTGTTGACTGCTGCCCACTGTGCGAGGCAGACAATGTTCTGAAGCCGGGTGCTCCATTGTTCCTGTGGCAGCTCTGCAAATCGGGGAAGTACCAGACACAGGTACCCAACCTGCCAAACACTGCAGAAATGATGAGAAACATCGTTAGTTCCTCCTGCAGCAAACGCACAGCAGACTTCCGCCGCCAGTGTGCATGCAGGTGGTCCGTGTCTCGGAGTTTGCAATGCCTGTCGAGGTGCTACGGTTCTTGCATGCGCTTATTGCTCCTTTGCGCTGGTTTGTGGCACATTGGCCCCCAGGACTGGATGTTGGTTTGTCGAGTCGGCAAGCAGTCCATGTGCGCGTGTGAGAGCCTGGCCTGCCCACCAGCCGCGCTGGTGGATTTGGACCAGGTGACTTGCATTGTCCTGAGCGAGCCAGTGGCACTCCATGCAAATCTTGGCAGGCTGCCGACCTGATGCGGCGGAAGGCCGTTGCCCTGACTAAACGTTTGTAGGTCTAGCCTGTTGTGAACAGCATGTGACCGGACCAGACGTGAAGGCACAGACGCTTGGAGGCACCCTTTGTGCAACAACTCTTCAGACTCGCAGCCAAACTCAAACGACGAACGCGACTCGGCCAACTCTGCAGGTGTGAGTTTCTCGGACTGGGCGGAGTTCACTACTGAGATGTACGTGGCCCAGTTCCATGCAATGCTCTGTTCTAAATCGTTCAATCGGCTCGTCGTCTTGCAGTCCGTGGCACTTGCGCCACAGAATGGTATCATTCCGAGTTTGTCCGGGTTCTGTGTCCGAGCAAGTGTGTTGCGATACAGTTCCATGATGCGCTATTGTCTTTGAATTGCACCTGTGAGGCGCGAGGGCCTCCGTCAGTGGGGCATCATGCCAACGACTGATGCGAACGGCCTGCGGAAGGTCATGGACCAGCACTGGACCCCGTTGCAAGAAGAGACGCGAAGTACGCATCAGAAAGTGCCGCGGTCATCTGCAGCCATTGTCGCCAGCTATCGAACGCAATCGTGACATTGGCGCAATAGTAGCGCGTCATGGAACCCATGGAAGAGGCATTCCGTGCACCTTGTGGTTCAGATCAGCTTGGCGTGCTGATTTTCATTTGTTGCGATTTATGCGGTTTAAGGATGAGAATGACCTCAAGAACGGCAGCAAGGATTCAGTTGAGCCGTCGAGTGTGACGCATCGCATGTGTGCATGTGCTGATATCCAGCAAATACGCAAGAGGTTCCAGGTTTCTTTTGAGTTCGCCTGCAGGCTCAATGGAAGGGTCGGATAGACGAATGCGCAGGGGATGGCAATGGCTTGCATGAGCAGATAACGAACGTATCCTGTGCATCCGTCGTCAGATGCCCATCCCATACCCAGCTTCGGTCAAATTTCCGCAACCTGGGTTTCAACAAAGCACGACCACAGCTTTCGACATTCCTATGACATTAGCCGTAAAGTGTGGACTGGCCTTGAGCCGCCGATTAGAATGTGATCGCCACTGCAGCGATGGACCAGCCTCGGACTGAGTTGACAGTCGTTTGTATTGTCGACTTGGGCAAGCTGAACGACCTCGGGAGACGCCTGCAGCAGCTCTGCCGACAGGCGCAGAAAGCTGTTGTTCGCCTACAAGGTTGCTGCTTCTGCTGCCAAGGGAGCTTGTGCATCTGCGTAGCGTGGGAGGTGAGAAGCACACACGTCAAGACAGGCCGGCCACCAGTTTCAGATTGCAGCCATATGTGCATAACAATCCGGATGACATGCATATGCGTTTGAAGACAGAATATACCGTCTGAGTGCAATTCCAGCTGCATACATTCAGGTCAGCACAGCGACAGCCACACAGGGAGAAGTTGCAAGGTTGGAAACCAAGCGTGAAGGAGCACACGATCAAGCTTTGCATCAGTTCAGTTATGCTTGTTCAACACAGGTCCCGCTGCTTCCCGACCTCGAACCTCAGCGTCGTGTGCTGTGCCTTTGCTGCATTCTCGTTGACATGTCAGTATTTTTAGACTAGTTACCATGTCGCTATCATGTCTGTCATGTTAGCCCCTTCGGCTATGACGAGATTGTAAGAACACGCTGGTCCTGAACCTGCCCAAATAAGGGGGTTATGCTGATTGAATGCTTGGGTGTCTTTTAGTGATTCGACATCCTTGTTCGCGCAACGTTCGGCAAACAGAGTTTCGTGGCTGGCACGATGCCTCATTGGTGTGCACCAGTGTATGTTGATTTGTTGGAGGGTCAGTTGTTCAGCTGTCGACTGACAAAGTTGTGCAACTTTCGGAATGATGTGTCCTGCCGATGCGGATTTAGCAGCCGCCATGTTAGTGTTGCTCAGATATGCTCAGATGTTTTCGTTGCAGTTGCATTCTTGCTTTGATTCTGAAGCCCAGTCTCTACGGTTGATCGCGCCAGAAGCATCGTGTTTCCCGAGATTGTTGCAAAGGTGCATTCTCACTTCAGTTGTTTGCAGCAGATTCGTGCGAGGGAGCAGGTGTGCACGAATCAATCAATACACCTGATTATCCGCTGATGCTGAAGCTCTCGGTAGCAAAACTTCGTCAGTGCACGAGCGGCCGAGCAAGAGTACCGCGGCCACTTAGGAACAGCACCTCAGATGTCCACAAGTCTGTGCCAGGCAGAGACTCTTGTTCAATCCGAATCCGACGCATTTAGCACCAGCAGCAGCCGGGGCAGTCTTCAACGCAGGAATGGCGATGACATCCTCTGTGCTGAAGCTACCAATTCTGTCTGCTCCTGAGAAGACCTTTTGAAGTTCTTTTCTGTCATTATCGGAAAACCTGAGGCCAGAAAGCAAGCTGTCTGACACAGAGGCTCTTGTTCTGGCCGCAGCGACTGCGAGCGCTGCTCCAAGTTAAAGTCCTGTTCGCGCTGGTTCGGGCCATAATGGAAGAAGGATGCGTGGCTCAGGCCAGTCGATGTCAGCTCTTCCATTCTCTTCCAAATCTCTTGCGAGGTGCTGCACGGACATCTTCAGTCTCACTGGCTGATGTTTGGTTGTTGCACAGGTTTGGGATGAGCAGATCGGCGTCGGAAGCAATGTTACCGAAGCGACGGACGGCGCAGATCCAAGAAGAGTCCTTTGCAGCATAGATCCGCAGAGAGCCAAACAGGCCAAGCTAGCCTTCCGAGGCTCGGAACCAGATTTTGGAAAAGACGTGGCCTTGGAGCTGTTGGAGCCGTGCAACGCGTGCAAAGCATCATTTCCAGCCGTTGCCCTTGAGCAGTGCGCTGGAGACCGAGGCTTGCTCTCTCTAGCCTGGAGAATACCCAGGACTGCCTCGACGCCTCGATGATTCAGAATCATGTTAGGACGGTGTAGACAGCTGGAGGGCAGGGCTTGAGATTCTCGCTGTGAGATTGTTTCTGAATCCGTTGGGTGCCAGCATCAATTATCATCAGTCCAACGCAGAATCGCAAAGGCATGGTTGCTGCGCTGCAAAAAAGAGAGAGAGAGAGAGAGAGAGAGAGAGAGAGGAAACTCAAGCCTGCCAAGGACTGCAGCTGCGCGTTCGCGTGCGGGGGGNNCTTGACCTGCCCCGAACCCCATGGCTCGTAGAGAGAGAGAGAGAGAGAGAGAGAGAGAGAGAGAGAGAGAGAGTGCATCGGTCCTGGGGGAAGCCAGAGCCATGACAGTTGTGAATCCGTGAACGTGCGGGTTTGACAGCCAGAGCTGGCACCAGCCTCAGCTTTGATGAGGCCGGGGGTTCGATATGGTTCGATAGCCCGTAAGTGTAGGGTTGGGGGATGACAGAGCCAACCACCGTGCCTCATCGAGTAGAGTTCGTTCGGACTTGAGACCAACAGGGCGCTCTCGAGCGCGAGGGGGGGTGCTGCGCGCCTCTTCTCTGACTGTGCTGAAGAAGAGAGAGAGAACACTAATTCAGGCGTCCACTGGCACTGCCTCGTTTGAGTATCGGGGGACATGTATCAAACATAAATATAAAATATCCGAAACTCAAACAACCTTTTCACACCCCAGAAAACCCCATAACATATGGGGGGCCAATAGGCCGGGCGGCCTGACACGCCCCTTATGCCCTGAAGAAGAAGGAAGAGTGAGAGAGAGAGAGAGAGAGAGGCCGCGCTACACCATTGGCTTCACTTCGGTTGCCGTTTCGAGCATTGTCGGCCCATGTCTTGGCGAACTGGATGACCCATGTACAGTAGCCGGAGGCTGGCGGTGGTCAGGGTCTTAGGAGGGGTGTTTCCGTGGGGTCTTTTTCAGCTCTGCACCTGGCGGAACAGTCCTCGCCTTCCCCGAAAGGGGCCTCGCAGACAGACCGGTGCGCGCCGTGGGGGTAGGCCTTCGGGCCAAGGGCTTGTCCCCAGACCCCTAGGAAGCAAGCCAGCAAGCCAGCAAGCAGCCAGCAGGCCAGCCAGCCAGCCAGCCAGCAAGCAACCAAGCAAGGAAGGAAGCAAGGAAGGAAGGAAGCAAGCAAGCACGCAAGCATGTAAGCACGCAAGCACGCAAGCACGCAAGCAAGGAAGCACGCACGCACGCACGCACGCACGCACGCACGCACGCACGCACGCAAGCAAGCAAGCAAGCAAGCAAGCAAGCGAGCGAGAAGAGTTTTAAGCAAAACGTCTCACACAGACCGGACGTGGAAGCAAGCGAGTTTCAAGGCAGGGCTCAGGCCGGTAGGTGGGTTGTGGGGACACAGTGCGTCCGGGAAAGAGGGAGATGGAGAAAGAGTTTCCCAGGGTGCACCCCGCCCACCGAGAACGCGACCCAGGCGATCCCCCGCAGCAGTGAGTCGCACGACCCACCGTAGACGGCGCATGCATGCTGCCTTCGCCAACACCTCCGATGAGCAGTCCGAGCAGTCTGCCCTGTTGATGCTGAGCCAAGCTGGCCTTCTTAGTATCCAGTGTAAGTCCAGTTTGCAAAATCTGTCTCGAGGCCAAATTGGGTTAGTCTTACCTTTACTTTTGACCATTACACCACATAGCAGAGATATGCCACATATTGCCACATGTTCGCGCTATAGCTGTCTTCCTTCGTTCAAGCTCGCCCTCTCCTTCTCCCGCTCCCCCTGCCGCTCCCTCTCCCTATCCCTTTGCTTTCATTCTTTCACCAGGGTTGTGGTGAAGGGCTTGTGGCCCCTCACCGCACGCGTGTGTGCCCCCGCCGGCTGCGGGTGTCAGAAAGCTGTAGGCCATGCACACTCGGAGGCATGACTCCCTCGGAAAAGAACAGACTGTGAGTACACAAACCGTACACTAACATTGGATTGCGAGAGTGCGATGAAGGGCATCAACCCGGGTGTTCCCCCGATTCTTGCTGGGGTGTGCTTCAGCAAGGTGCGAGCATCGCATTAAGACATGCCCAAATAGCAGCCAAGACAAAAACTTCAACCGACAGGGCCCGGTCGTCCCTCGACCTGCAACGGTTCACCTGGCTTGCTACCGTGCTGTGCACTCTGCTCATGTGAGGACCTGAACCTGAAACAACTGTAGCTTGGGCAGGACTGGTACGACACAAGACTATTGTGGGAGCGCACAAAGCAGGCCATCATTCAAGTGTGAGCGCCCTTAAAGGATCACTTAGGACACGGCTGGGCTATGACAAGGGCACCAGTGCGAGAACATACGGCAGCAACAAAGAACCGCAACGAGTAAGTGTTCACACGATGCTCCAGGCACGCCTAAATGACAAGTTATGTGGGGGCATCCGGAGGAAGTTGCATAAGGTTTAGGTCCAGTCTCTTGCTCTGCTCAGTGTCGACAGCCAGACATTTGACCAGGTTGATGACAATACGTGTTCCGAGCACGAAGCACCACAAGTAGGGGGAACCACTTCGAAGTCTCTCTGACAAGCTCGGGGCGCATGGCCTTGGGGGAGGAATCGTTTGAACGAAGTTGTCCCACCTATGCCGGTTCTGTCCTAACAGAGTTAACGAATGTGGAAGTAACGAGGGAGCTCGGTCTTGCAGGCCACACATGAGGGAGGGCTGGTTAGATTTTGGCTGCGGCTTCGATGTACAGCTTTTGCA